ACTTTTATCTTTTTTAAGCTCAGCCGAACATGCTCTTTACAGCCTTGGCCCAGACCTTCAAGACAAGTGGGACAAGAATCCTCGTCGTCTGCTGTCGAAACAGGAATCAGATTTGACTTCAAAAGTTCAACTTCAGCCTTTCTAGGCGAGGGTGGAAAGAACCCAGGTTGAGTTCCGCAATTCACTTCCTTGAGATCAACACAATTAGCCTTCTCCAAACTACCACCATTTATAGTCAATTGTCCAGAGTCGGCATCCGAATGCCCGAAAACGACATCATATGGGATAGGTGCAGGAGGAGGTCGGAAAGTGTCAGGGATTGACATATCCAGATTTAAATCAACCAAGAGTCCAGAAGTGAGCACTGTAGCAACACTGTCATAAGATGTCAGGGACTCGTGCTCTTCTGAATCTGTCGGACACTGCAGAATAGATATGGTTTATTGGAAAGCATATTATAATATGAAAAAGCTTTAATCATTTAGATCAAAGGGTCACTGGAGAGGCTAACTACTCTATGCTGGTTCCTACTTGTTATACTAACTACTCAAAGTTCTAAAAATTACAAAAGGTCCATTTTTTTGGCTGGAACTAGATAAACGAGTATTTCACACTCTCTTGATATTAACAAATAAAAATTTGACTTCAATAATCTTTTTGACAAATAAAATTAGGTTTAATTATATAGATACACCTTTCAAGATGATCTCCATAATCAGTAATCAAATTCAATCTAAAGGAAACGCGGGAAACTGGCCTTCCATCCCCCTATTTAGCTGTGGTGTCTTGGTTACAATGTATAAGGAGAATTTTTTTCCCCCCCCCTTGATGATTTCATCGTCATCAACGAGCCCATCGCCATTTCTATCGGCTTTCCCGATGGCGTATTCACTCTTCATACCCTTAAACCAGCTCTCTCTTTTGGCGTCGCGAAAGGCATCGTGGAGTTCCTTGCTGCTTATCTTCCCATCGTTGTTCTTGTCATACTTCATCAACCATTCTTTGAACTGTTTCAAATTCATCCCTCCATTTCCAGGAACTCTGACACCATGATTACTCACCATCTCTTTGTGCGTCCTACCTTGTCATGAGTCTTATGACTTGTGACCTCCCTCATATTTATAGTATTATCATCCTACCTTGTTTTGCCTTCTTTTTGAGGGTTGGGGGTGGGGGGGGGGGGGGGGGGACATTGAAGTACAACAAATTCATCTAGTAATCACTAACAAGAGAATTGTTGAACTAAAATTCACACATGAGGAAATGAAATCACTAACATAATAATATACTGGTGTTCCATGTAGCTGAGGTTTTCGGGAAGAACAACAGCAACCCCCCATTCCTGCAATTATTCGATTTAACAACTCAAACCTTGCAATGCTTTGTCCACAACTTTCTCCTCCCTGGCATCAAGTAAGATACTGCAAAAATGAAAAGCATAAAGATTATGCTTCAGAAGAAGCTGCTCTCTATTTTCCAGAGTAAAAAATAAAAAAAGAAAAGAAAAAGAAAAAAGGAAACTTGCAGGCACCAAGATAGTAAGACAAAGGTATCCAACTAGAAAACTGCAGATTTTCTAAAAAAAGGAACCATCTGGATGAAAATTTCACTCTAAACTCACCTCGATGAAGTAAAAGAATCAAAATTATATTAACATATCAGGTTTTAAGGAAAATCGAAAATCAAGTTAAGATGGTTTAAATCACAACCTCAAAGCGAAATTTGGAACCCTCTTCTCTTCTATACCTCCATCACTCTGTCTTAACCCATTTTATTTTCTTTTGAAGCAGTTTGTTTTCTAGAGCTTGGACTCTAAACTAGATGTCCTTCTTTTTCATTTCCCCTTAATTCTAATTCCTGAGATGCTTAGACTCTTAGTCAAAAGATAAGACAAAAGAAAGCACCCAAAGCAATTAAATAAGAATAGTTTCTGCTAGGAAAAAACAAGAAGTACTTTCCAACTAAAGAAAACATTTTCATGGAACTATCATCTCTATTCTTATAATCCTATTTAAATACAAATAATCTCTTCCATGTAAAGATTGATTTGGGTTAAATATCCCATCACCAAAGCATTTATTGCAAGTCAACATGTCAGGGTTGAAATCAACACGTTTAAGCATATGCTTTGGTACTCATGATTTATTAAACAATGTTTCACTATCGAGTTTACCCAAATTTATACATATTTATGTTTTTATTTTATATCTGATTTGATTGAGAAGAACAAGTTAACAGAAGAAAAAGGGAAAATTCATTCATGATTATAGTAAGTAGCTGCTATTCAACTTAAATCAATTCATTGCACATCGAGTCACAATTTATGTACATGAACCTATTTCCCTTTAGCTTAAGTGACAAGATAATTTTTATCCTTTGATCTAGTCCACGATACTCTCGTGTAAACAATATTACTACTGCGTTAATTTGTTAACTTGGCTGCTAGCAGCTTCCTATAAAACATCCATCAGTTTTCAGTTTTGTGCTAAGTTTCCTCTAAATTCCCACTGATATCCTCGTTCTACCTGCTTTATATTCACAGCAGCACTATTATTTTACCATATTTATTGTTTTTCTTCAATTGTTCATGTTCAATTTTAACAAGGATCGAAAGAGCGAGTGAATTTTTCACCTTTGTCAACTAAAAGCGGCAAAACACACAAAAGCATTTGATGCTGCTAATTCCTTTTATTTGTGCATGAAAAAGCATTTGTATGCATTCTCTCAACCCAATTCCCACATCTTTCAATGCATATCATTCAATTTATCGTCGAGGTGTTAACTCTGAAAAGTGTGCATATCAACCTACAGTGCCGATGTACATACATGATGTATACATTTACATATATGTTTATATCCTATATATTATGGTCAAGGTTTTCATTTTCGAGATTGGTTGACATGTCAACATCAACATGATTCTAGTGATATGATGTCATCATTTTCTCTACTTTAATCTTAAGAATAATATATTTACTTATTATATATGCGTATAGATAGTTTTTACACATATGGTTATGGTTGATTAATGAACATAAAGAGAGTTTATTTCTCTCCCAGACTTGTATCTCTCAACTACTTTCCATTTTTATTGTTGTAAGTGCATATATACTAATATATACATTCGCCTGTATTTAACGGCACTTGTTGATTTCGATATGGGGTCAGCAAAACGACACAGTAACCAAATTCTTATAGGACCATCCCTCATGTGTTCATATCATTCCCAACACTAATAATAAACATACCAAGACTAAAAACTCCCAAAACGTTATGACATCAAAAACAGGCAACAAATTTCAAAATTCATCCACATAGGCAAAACAGTAGATTTCCTCAAGATTGTTAAGAACTATCTAGTCTAACAGCTTAAGTGGTTAGAGAGAGGACACATTCTATTATTTAAATTTAGTCTTCAATGTGCTTCCTCACGTGAGCTATATTCACTTTTTATGAGTCATTTGACTAGTCCACAATTTTGAATATCATTTAGTGCCGAGACTTGAACTGGGACTTATATATGCTCTGATATTACGTTGATAGGTATGCAAAGAACTCAAATTTTTTTTTTTTTTTTTAAGGGGCAATCATTCCATTTCAACTATAAGCACCATATCAAAGAGACCATCAAGTGAATGAGTGCCAACAAAAAAAAATTCAGTTCCCACATAATTAAAAGATAAACAAGAAACATAATAACTACCCAAAATCTTGCAAAGCATTGAGTTAATACACGGTTGACAAATATGAAATGAATTCAACAAAACTTAAGAAAATCTTAACGGCTTTCACAAAATGCCCACAAAAACTAAATTCAGTTTACATCTCGAAAATAACCCATCAAAAGAAAACCGCAAAATACCACGAATAAACATAATTTCACCTGCGAATTCTTGTTTGTTTATCCGTCGGCTGGATGAAATATGATAAGGGTTTTGAGGGGCTGCAATGGAGTATGAAAAAAAGGAGGTTCCACTACATTTCGTTAGTATTTTTATCTGAACTTTTTTTAAGAAAAGGAAAGCCTCCCTAAAATGAAAGCCTAAGGTTGTGGACAGAAAAGCAGGTGTTTAAACTAGTCAAAAAAGGAAAAACGGAGAGCAATTTGTGTCAGTTTTGAGGGCACGTAAAGCATCTTTTTAGTCGTGGTTAAGAATTTGTTTTTCTTTATAATTTTTCTTAATAAAGACAAAAAATAAATTATAGATTTTCAGATAAAACGAAAACTTGGCGTCGCCCGGACTCGAACCGGAGACCTTCAGTGTGTTAGACTGACGTGATAACCAACTACACCACGACACCGGTTCTGTTAAGAAAGGTGACATATTTTTATACTTAAAGAAGAATTGAACACTACACCGACCCATGATGTCGGCCGGTTGGCTCCTACCCCGATCTCGACCGGCCCCTGCAGCGGACAAGAATATTTTTTAAACAAAGAATCACCAATTACAATATTGATTCTTTTTCCATGTCACTACAAATCAATGAAAATAATAATTTGATTTTTGATATGTCAACGTCGCTATCCAGTTTGTTTCTTTGGTTCTTTATCGGATAGCCTCCACGACACCCTACTCACCAAACCGGTCCAATTCTCGCTGAACCAATAATTAGCAACTTTTATTAGCTAAACTATTACCAACTTTTATTAGATATATCATATATGCCCTGTCCGATCGGATTAAAATCAGATTTTAGTAAATTTTGATAAAAGTTGTTAAAATATGTGATTGAAAAATTATGAGTCCTATAAAATATGTGATTAAAATTAATTGTTGACTTTTACTTACATTAAAATCTGAATTTTAATTTGTACCAAACATATATATAACAAATGGCACGAAAGAAAATTCTTGCATGTTTGGCTAAGCATAAAAATTTATATTACAAGAAAATTTACTTATATAAGCAAAGAGTGCATTTCTATGAAGAAATACCTTGTTTGTAGAGCAATTCAAAAAAATTTACAGCATTTTTTATTTTTATTTTTTTCCAGTATCGACAGTTTTCCTTCTTCTTCTTCTTCTATTTTTTTTTTTTTTTTTTTTTTTTTTTGGCGGGGGGGGGGGGGGGGGATCATCATATGCACAAGAAAGTTCCTAAATTAGTTTAAGAAACCTCCAATTATTCCTTATCATTAAAATTTCTATGTACCGTTTAAGTATTCGTACAAATCTACGTCCATATGGATGTTGGTGGAAAGTTATTTGAATCATGCCATATTCGAAGTGGTGATTGTTGAGAAAAATGTAGGGAAATCTGAAAATTTAATGAATTTCAAGGTACGAAAAACGTTATCTTTTAAGAGATGTTTCTTCCTTATCCAACGAAGTCACAACTGGGGTATGATAGAAAATTTCTCTCAGGATACAATTGAGGCGTTTGATTCAAATTGTGATTATTTGATCAAACCAAAAAGGCACTTGAAAAAAAAATACTAATGATGCCAAAAGAGAGAAGAATAATTTTTATTTTTTTTAATGAGTTTTGCAAACGAAAATTCACTCAGAATTTATAGAAATTGAGATAACTGTTTGAATAGGTGTATCCCTTGAAATGAAGAACACATCTGTTGAAAATAATAGGTCGATCCCCGTTGCGCAGCAGTAAATACTAATCCGGACGGCAAATCATT